GGAGGGCGGGCGCGCGTGCGCGGAGCGGAGGCGCGCATGGCGGCGGGGCCGCGGGAGCCGAGCCCAGGTGCGGTAACGCGGCTCCGGCATCTCCCCCCGGGCCGCCGCGACGGGACCCCGGCCGGTGTTTTCCGCCGCCCCGCCGCGGGGCTGCGGTGCCGAGGGGCGCGCCGGGTGCGGGCTGAGGCGCCCTCCGCGCTCCTCAGGGCTGGGGCGCGTTCCGGGTCCCTCACAGCTGCGGGAGCCGCTCCTGGGGCCGCGCCGGGCTGTGCCCTGTGGCGGCCGCGGTCGCTGCAGTGGCGGTCTGTGCTTGGAGGCACTCGGGTTGTGCTTCTCTGCTTGTCAAGCGACACACCCCCAATAAACTGCCTGCTAGAAGTAATAAACCCAGCGCGCGGTGGACTTAAAAAGAAGCTGTAAGTGAGTTTGGTGTTTTGGGAGAAGGCTGCTTGTGTGAGGACATGCCGTGTGCCGGCGCCGTTTGTATAGTTTTCCCCCCACCTTTTTGACAGTCCTTCGTGGTCTCTGGGGAGCAGCTGGGGTTTCCCTGAGTGGTGACTGGGTTGTTGGGTGTTGCTGTTTCGTGAGACTCGGAAATCTCATCTATTTCTTAAGCATATTTCACAGACTTAACGTTGTCAGCGAAATTGACACAGGTGCGTTTTCCAGTTATTGCCGTTGTCTACCAAAAAACTGCTTTGAGCAACCTTTTAAGTGTGAGTCCCCAGACCTTCTCTGTATTTTTAACGGCATCTGCCTCCTCTTCCATGACAGAGATAATGCTAAATCTCAAACCTGGTACAAGTTGACAAAGCTAATTGTAACCCCTTTACTGGGGAGTGTCACTATGCCCTAATTTCCTCCCTGATACGTTTTACTGTAATTCGTGCCCTTGTGAATTTGTGCTGCTGTGAATGGCTGTAGAGAAATGCCCTCAGAGGGAGCTTTTTCAGACAGCAGATTTTGATTGCTGTGAGCTATGCAGTTATCCAAATTCTTCGTACAAAACCTCTGCAACATCTTGCAGAAAGCCCAAAAGAGACTGATGGTGAAGCATTCAACTGCATGTATTTTCTGTTAAGTATAACCAACACCCTGCATGCAGTGCTCATGATGGTTGTCATGTTTGCCTGTGGTACCAATTTCTGTGGCTGCTTGCTGTCTTTGTAGAGGTGAACCTGGGACTGCAATGGCCATAGATTTCCCTTTATTTGAGAAAAGTGCTTCCCAAATGGAAGCAGGGTGGAGGAAATAGAACTGTGGCATTAAACTACACTAACCCAGCTGTTGGAAATGGCCCTGGAATGCTGGACTCGGGAAGCAGCCTATAGAGTGGTGGGGATGGAGTTGTGTTAAGGCTAAAGCTGAGGTATAGAGAACTGCCTGTGTGCTTTGAGCATGCAGCTCTTGTTCCCACTGTACACTAACATTAAACTTCCACATTTCTCCTTCAGCCAGCTGTTAAATGTGTGATACCCTGGTGTTACGGTGAGAATTTTTATGGTGCTCACTTAATGTTTATGAAGAGATACTTATATGTTATTTACCTGTTCATGACAAAATATCCCAATACATATGTATTTATGTGTATATAAATATACAGGATTTAACTCTCCTGTTTGGGGAATTGGTCAGCAATATTTATACAACTATAAGATCCCTTAACTGTGCATGTACTTGTACACCTCTGTAGAAGCATATTTCTTTAAGAAAAAAAAAATAATCTCTGTGGTTGCACACAAGCACTTAGGTTAATGAAACCTGGCTGGTTAAACCATGAAGTTGATTTTCCAAGTGATGTGTGTGCCAGTGGCTTGCCTGGGTTACAACAGTGATTAGACAAAATCACGGGGCAAAATTGTACCATGGGGATTATTTTAAACACAGATATAAAACTTCAGGTGTTTCTGGGCTGCTATGAAAGGAAGCTGGATAAATATCACCTTACTGATGGGTTTTTTCCCCTGAGCTTTGTTATTAACTATTGTTAGATACAGAATGTTGGGCTGCTGGGGTCATTGGTCTGTCCCTGTAGAGCTGTCCTTGTGTTCTGTTGCTGGGTTCCAGCATGTTCACAGTACGTGTCATCAGTGTCTGGAACAAACTCAGTTTATCTCAAAGAACTAAATGTGCTGCTTTTGTGAAACTGCTGTCTCTTCTTTACATCTTTGAACTTAGAGGAAATGGTTGAGTGATGATGAAATCTAGTTTTCTGCTTTTTTTTTTTTCATTTGCTGCTAAGATGCTTCAGACATTTTAACTGAAACATCTTATAATTGTTCTCAGACCCAAAGCTCAAAAATATTTGGTAAACATGAGCTAACTTCATTTGGAACTTGGTCTGGAGTGTCATCACTTGAAAATTGAATGGAAAAATAAATCTGCTTTAGATTAAAGTATTAATATATTGAGCATATGAGCTGCTTAACTTCTCAATGTTGTTTGTATCAGCAGGATGCTTTATTCAGCTTCAAAAGCCAAGGAGATGTGGGGTTACTTTGCCTTTGTGTCCTTTATACCTTTGCAGAGCAGAATAAATCTGTGCTTTAAGAGTTGTACAGTTCTTTCGAAGTTACTCTCTAGCCTTTTACAGTCTCCTTGCAAAAGCTGTAAACAGCTGAGATACCACAGCCAAGAAGGTCCATCTTGAGGAATTTACTTGCGTGGTGTGGTGAAGAAGATGCAGCTGGTAGGAGTCATGTGCTAATATAATGCAGCTTGTCTTTAAAATAAAATACTGAAGGGAAAAATCGTGACCACCCTTCCCCCTCCTTCACCCCAAACTACAGAAGTTGAGTTTTCTTCTATTCAGTTGGGTATGTTGTGTGTGTACTCTTATATGTGTAAACTCTTGTCAGGTAGGGGCCAAATTCATTGTCATTTTGTCCTGCTGCTTGTGAATGTTTGGGATTGGTCGCTGCTTTCAAGGGTGTGCTGTGTGTGTGAGAGCATTGTCCTGTGGGTGTGCCAATTCACTGTCCAACATTATCTGTCTGTTTGAAGGTTGTGATGGGCACCTGAGTATCTTGGAGCTTCTTTTGGGATAGGAGGTAGATCTCTGAAGTGCTGGGAACTCTTTTTGTCTTTCACCATGGGATTAATGCCAAATTTTGTTTTACATATCTGGTGGTTTTTTTTCTGCCCAAAGCACATAACTGTAGACTAACAATAGTAATGTTATTTCTTTTATATGCTGTCTTATAAGCCTTTAAAACAAATTGATTTACTTCAAGATGTCTGCATGGCAGAGTTGCATAATGCAAATTCTGTCTGGTGGTTATGGAAGAAGGTGACTAATGTATTTATAAAGCACTGCTGGCATGTGCTTAAGTATCAAGTGTTCTCTGCATGTGTGTGGTTGTTAGTTCAGTGCTTTTGGACATATTCAGATGAAAATCGTGGGAGGGTGTATGTGTGTTTTGTATCTGTGTATGCAATGACAAATCAGGCAAATTGTCTCATATAAAAAGCTAAGCTGTACTTCTGGAGCAACACATTGGAATTTTTCTGCAGTGACTAATAATGTGATAAGGAGGCCAAGATTTCTTGAGAACTTTGCTGTTATCTTGCGACAGCGTTAGAACTTGTAACATTAAATTTGTAAGACCTGAAGACAGCAGCTGTGGCAATCTGGCAGAAGGCTAAAATGAACTTTTATAACTTTTTCAGGTCACCTTGTAATGGAAGAGAGTGGAGCTGACCATGATACTGCTATGGAAGGATCTAATGATTTGTTCATAGGCAGCTGTAATAGTACAGGAGAGTCAGAAACAAATGATCAGGTATTTCAGGTGAGGTATGAATGCTTTGTCCTTGTAGAAGCTTCCTTTACATCCGCTCTGATGAGTTTCAAATATGCTGTTTCATCAATGCAGGGTTTTTTTCTTGCCTTTAGAGTAATACATCATGTCTTTAAAGAATGTGCATTCTTCCCTTGAATTCCTGTGCCATTGAGTTTTGAACTGCTGAATGTCTAGACGTTACATGTAATGACAACCTTCAGTAATTATATCCTGCTACAGTGCTGAAGAAATGCATCTTTTATTTTGTTAGCCCTTTAAAAAAGAATGCTTTATGAATGCGTTGGAGTAGGAGAGGTTCAGAACAGGTGAAAATGAGGTGGCATTGCTTAGTGACCAAGTGTGACAAAGAAAGAGTCCAGGGACACAGGACTCCTGTGTATGTACTGAGGGAAAGGAGTCTTTAGTGTATTTTTTATCAGATATTGCCAGATCTTCTTATTTGGGGAGATTTCTGTGCATCACTGCTCTTCTGCAGATTGTTTTTCTAACATAAAATGTCATTCAGGTTTACTTGTGTGCTTATGGTCTCTGCACAATGTCTTTAACACAACAGGTGCCATTTGTTTGGTGCTGCTTTTCTGATGAAGTTCCCAGTAGACAGTTTCAGCACAGAGGATTTATACCTGCAGATTTTTTGATGGGGTTATTTAGATCAAATGTGACTTTAGATAAAATTTAGAAACACTTTTCCTCATTCTTTGGTTTGTAGTGTATTAATTTTTGTCTCAAAAATGTCAGAGTTGTTTGTGCAGTTGCTGCAAGAAATACAACAAATTGCAGCCCTTCTTGCATTGGCCAAATGACACCTTGACATGTTATTGTACACAAGGACTGCCTATTTTTCCATTATTTTTACATGCTTAATATTTTGTGTTGTCAGATTTTCAACAAGATATTTGTGCCTGTGCTCTTAAATTTAATGAAAATGGCATTGGTTCTGAAAATCTGTTTCTTGGCCTTATGTTGTACAATTCTTGGCCTTGATTGGAGTTTGTCTTGCTTGTGGTTCTTCTGTGGTAAAGAATTTTCAAAATGTGCAGAGATTTTGTTTCTTCATAGCTAAATGTATGTATGGAAAGGCCAAGTGGATAGTATCTAGGATTTCTTCTGAAGTCAAATCAAGTTGGTGAATATTTTGCAATTTTGTTTTTGGTATAAGTCTTCTCAGTTTCTGGGCAGACTTGAGGTGTTTTAAAGTGATACATGGTTTTGGGGAGCAGATTTTGAGCAAAAGGAATTTTCTTTTGTCTTAGCAGAGAGACTTTGTTCTAGGAAGCAGGAATATGAATAATTTTCAGCATGGAAATAGAAAACAAAAGTAGAACTGCTAGTGTTAGCCTCTTGATCCAGAAGGACAAGAGCTTCTCTGAGTATACAGTATGGCACACTGGTTTTAAATGTTCTTTTCTCTTTCTTTTTTTTTTTTTTTTTTTTTTTTTTTTTTTTTAAAAAGTTTTTTCCAAAAAAAATTTTTTTTTTTTTTTTTTTTTTTTTTTTTTTTTCTTTGTAGAAGTTGCTGCTCAAAGTACATTTTACTGTTTTTCCCCTGTGAAAGCAACTAACGTGCATGGATTCCAGGGATCTGTTGTTTGGCCAGAGCGACTCTCCCCCAGCCCTGCCCATCGCAGTGCCCCTCCCGGGCAGTCCTCCGGCATCGGCCGTGCCGGCGCGGCCGCCCCAGCCACGCTCCCGCTCTGCCGAGGAGTTCCACCTGGCCGAGCAGCCCAGGCAGCCCCTGTGTGAGCTGCAGCCGCTGCGAGCGCCCGGTGCACCCATGGTGAGTGTGTCTGCAGACGGGCCTGGGCTGTGTTCACAGATCAGGGAGCTCTTTGAAGAACTCTCTTACACGGTGGCTTGTTGTAGCAACAGCTGATTCAGACTTTATCTCTAGCAACAAGGTGGAACTTTTCAGTGGTACAGTTCATGCTCCAGTTGTTCTTCTTCAGGTAGGCAAATCCTGTCTGCAGCCATTACTAATTTTAAACTGATGGTTTTTGTCAGTATCGAGCCTGGATGCTGCAGTGTGATAAGATCTTGTATTTCTACTGCTGCTGCTTTCTCTATATCCCTTGGATAAGTCTGGTTTTCAGTAAGATTAGCAGTAAGATAAGTCATTATGTTTCACCTTTCCCTCAGCCCTCAATTAATTTTCTTAAAATGTTGCTTTGTAATTTGTAACAGCTATTTTGTAAAAAAGGTAACTCTCTCACCTGGAGTCCTGCATAATTGTCTCCAATATAAATATACCATAAGGAGTTGTTGAAGTTTTTCAGAATCCCATGTGATTTAATTTGTCTAGTTTTTTTAAGCCTTGGAGCTTTTCTTCTCTCTGCTTTTGCATGAAATGCTGCCCATAGAGGTCAGTTTCTTAGAAGTAAAGGTCACAATTTTTATGTTACTATTAGTTCTGCTAGTCCATGAATGGAGTTACAGGGAATCCAACTATGAATGGCTTTCAGGTGTTTGTGTCTAATAATAGAGTTGTCAGTTTCAAATAAATGTGTAATTCATTGTAGAATCAGGTAAAGTACTGGTTTGTTTTTTTCTTTTTTTCCTTTCTTTAATTAAAGGCCTGTTTTGAAAGGGGAAAGTAACTTTAAGAAACTGACAATAAAGAGGCAGTGCTCTTATTATGTGAAGTCAAGTAGATATACAGGCCTTAACTCTAAGCAAAATATTTCCTGTTCTGGTAATAATCAAAGCCAGTCATGCTGCATGATCACCATACAAACTAGAGACGTTCATGCTTCTGTGTGATTGTCTTACAGATGATTGTTGCCAGCCAGTCAGAAAATGGACAGGTGCTGCATGTCATTCCTTCTGCCCAGCCAGGAGTGACTCAGGTGATTATTCCTCCAGGTCAGCTTCTGGATGTGACCAGCACGCAGGGTGAGTTTAACCTGTGGGACTTGAGGGTTTGTGCTTCTGTGACTAAGCTCGTCCTCCATGGTCTTTTAAAGCACCTTGTTTCCTTTTCTTAGTTATAAGACAAAATACATCCTGAATCTGCTTTCTGATTGTGAATCTGGTGCCTCACACACCACATTTTCTGTTGGGCAAAGGTCTTATGAAAGCTTATGAGAGCTATTATACCCCCTTTCTGAAGGGTATGTGATGGATAGATATCAAGCACAGGGTTGTTTCTTGCCTTATTTACCTTTAATAAGGATATTTGTGTCATCAGCTGTACTATCAACTTCAAATTTTCAGTATTTGTTTACTTCATTGTGAATGAAGTAGTTAATTCCTGTAGTGCAGACAGGCCAGAAGAACATTAAATCTTCTGTTCCAGACATCACTGGTGATGATGCATCTTCTGTGAAGCCAGGAATTAGTCATTTATGTAGAAATTCAGGTTCCAGTCAAAGAAAATAAGGTGTAACTTTCCATTCATTGGAATGTGTTAGTTGTCACATTTTAAGCATGTGCTGAGATACACAACTAGAATCTCAAATTTTAAGGTTTTCTCTAAAAAATAGGCATACTGAAATCTGACAGCACTGTTTATTTATCTGCAATCCTTGCTGGATGGCAAAACACTGTGTACTAGGTTGCATTCACAGAGTGAGACTGAGAATGAGGTGGTCACATTTGGTTAAATTCTCAAATGTTTTTTAAACTATTTTTTCATTCTCTCTAAAAAGTTCTCAAGATTTGAGCACTGGTGAAGTGTTCCTGTGGAATGATAGCTCAGAATAAGAATAGAGTCCTGGTGCTGGGTGGATAGAAGAAAGATTTGGCATTCAAGTAGTGATCTAGCTCTTTTCACTTAGGGTTGCAGTAGGTTTTCCTGACCTTGCACTGAAAGACTTATTCCTACCCTAATGCTCAACCTTCCCTCCCTCTCCAGGTATACTCTTGCAGGGGTATAATTAGACTTGGTTACAGCAGAATCTTACATTACTGTAAAGCTGATTGGCAACCTTTAGTTACAAAATAATTGCTGCTACTCTTTGTAAGCACTAAGTTGAAATAATAAAGTTTTGCATTTCCATTTTTTATTTCTCAATGTGAGGCTCAGTCTGATAGTATTTGAATACATGTTCTACAACAGTACTACAGGTGTCATTTTGTCATACAGGGTTTTTGTTGGTTTTTTCTAGAGACTGTGTAAAAGACTTTGTAGTGATTTGGTCTTTAATAGACAGTTGGGGTGACTAGTCAGCAGTTTACTGTGGAGTTGAAAGAGAAAGGAGAGTGGCCTGTCAGCTCCTGAGTTTCACTTGTCTGCACATGGTGGTAATGCACAGAATGGTGCAGACTTCAGAGTAGCCTGTAGGGTCTTGAGGGCATGTCTCTGTAGGAGGAACCAGTGCTTTGAGCCAGAGTGCTGTTAATCCAAGTGCACACTTAGGAATCTTCTTATGGAGCTTTGTGTGGATCCATTTCTGTACTGTGTCAATAGCTTACCACTCTCTCTGGATGAAGGAAAGAAGCTTTCATAACTGAAGGGCAAAAATCCCTCATCTAAAGAGACCTCATCTAAAGAGCCCTGTGTTTATGTTGAGACCAAAATATTGAATGTCTGCTTTCACGGGTTTCCATTATGTTTTTGTTTAACTGTACACACAGGCTTCAATCTAAGAGCAATTTTTGGCTTGAGGATTGCTCCCTATTACCAAGAAAGGCTAAAACATTTGTTCTAACAGCATGTCAGATTCAATTACAAGAGGCCTGTTTTTCTTGTTTAAGTGTTCTTTTCTAAGTACAACACAGTATCATTACCTCATTTCTTTCTTGTTTTAAAAGCAAGCAGTATATGACTTTGCAGCTGAACAAAATACTTGTGCAATCCTGTATGGATTCCTGGAAGCAGGGTAATTTGCAAGTTGTTCTGATTGTTTGCCTCGTTGTGGAAGGATTCATAAGCAGTAGCACAATTACCAAAGTCCTTAAATATAAGCAGCCTTATCAAGTGTATTTTCATATGTGTGCCAGGAGTTTGAGCACTGATTCAGAGCTATTAGACTGCTTTATCATCTATAAAACTCCTTTCCTACGTCAAAAGGCTTGCTTTAACAACACACAAAGTTTAATCATAGCTTGTTTTCCCCATTCTACATTCAGTTATTAACCAGGAAGCTGCTGTTTTTTTATAAAGATGTTTCAGAAGAGAAGTGTGGTGATGGGAACCTGCAGACTGTGGTGGTGGCTTCCATAGCAGACAGTGCCAGCAGTTACATTCTACATCCACAGGCATCTCTCACCCTATCAAAAAAAGCAACCACCAGGTAGGTCAGGAGTTAATAGGATGAACAGTCACTTTGATCCACTGTTAGCACTGCCTTTTTTTCTTGCAGTTTCTTTTTGCAATGGTTATCACAAAATTACCATGGAAGAGAAGTTATGAAGCCACAGTGTACTGAATGTTTGGAGGACTTGAATGTAGAAACCAGTTGGGTTTTTTTATATTTTTACTCACTGTAAATTATTTTAACAATGAAGTAGAATATGAAAATGAAAACCACAAGTTTTTAAGGCATGTTGATACAATATCCATAGCTTGATCATACGCTCTAGGGTTCTACATAATACACTGATTTGATCTTATTTGTAGTTTAGACCAAGTTGTTGCTTTTCTGAATGTCTGTATAGACTTCTATTATTTTTTTTCAGGGTAGTGGAAGATTCTTTTCCCATCCCTCTTCAGCCATTGCCACTAAATACGCCTGCATGGGCACGCCGTCTCAGGAACTGTGAGGTGGGCCACAAAGAATTCTGACTTAACGTTTTATCATCTAGCTCTGAGGTAGTGTTCCTGTTCCTTGAAAGGGAGAATTCATAGCTGTAGAAGTGTTCAAGCTTCTTGGTATACAGCACTGGTACTGCTAGCACAGTTAAACACTTAAAATGCTGTGAAATCGCTCTCTATTTTGAGAATTTTAGAATAACTGACCATCAACTGCTCCTGAATTAAAAGAAATGTTGCTGAAAACCTGATACCTTGTAGTGCTGGGAAAAGCTGTTGTGTGCCATGTTAAGGTTTTCTGTTGACCAACAGTGCAAACTTTGCTGACTTCTGCAGCTGTTCATGTGGTTTGTGTTATCACATAGAAATCAAAATCCATGTGATTGGCCAGTGTCAAGTCTGAGACTTAACACACCCTAATATCAATATTTCACTAAGGATTCCTATTTTAGATATTATTGCTGATTTTTATTTTTTGTCCTAGCAAGTGCTTGTTTCCTCTTTTGTTAAAAAATACTGTGTCTTTATCTTCTGTGATGGCTTTTGACTTAAACAGAACTCTTCCTTTTTGCATATTGTTAGATGTTTGCAGAACTGTCCTGATGACTAGGATGCTATCAGCAGCTAGAATGCATCACACGTCCCTTAACAGGAAGGGAGGGGAGGTGGGAAGTTTCTTGAGAGATCAACGACCCCTTCCTCCTGCTGCCAGACTCTTCCTGACAGATGTTTATTTTACTTTCTCTTAATACTTTTTAAAAGGGAAGCTCATACTCTGTAGCTGCCTAATCTCTTTAGATATCTCTAATATCTCTACCACTGTTTTTTTTTTTCTGTTGGCTTGGCCACTGATAACTAGAAGTTGCAGTTTGAGGGACCTAGAAATTTAATTTCTTTCTGTATCTGCTTAGAAGCAATTTTAAAATTAAATATATTCATCTGTTCCTTTTATGTTATGCAATTCATTTAATACATGTGGTACTGTGCACTCTTATGTGCACATAAATGTTAAGAAGTCAGAAAATTCTTAGCATGAATTCTTCCATGGTGGAGATACCATTTTTACAGAATCAGCTGCTTAATTCAGTTGGCCAGTTAGTTCGTAAAGTTCACTGTGTTTTTAGCACTATGTGGTACATTCTCTCCTGTATGTGGCTGATCTGAATCATTTATTGTTTGTATCATTATCGGGGGACTTAGGATCTGCTTTGTCTCTCTATTACAAGAAATTTCACCTGCTGTGTTTAAAATTCATAGTGACATTTATAGAGAAGTTCTTCTTTTTAAAGAAAAGGAAATAGAAATAATGTCTATTTGAATATGTTCAGAGGACACAAATACCTCCCTCTGCTGTTCAGCAGAGCTGTTGCCTGTATGCATTAATCCTCCCTGATCCACCAGAGAGTGCTGGGATGTATTGTGCCTTTTTTTGGGCACTGGCCAGAGACACTGGAATTTTTTTTGAGGCGTCAATTGTCTTTCAGGGGTGACAAAAAGTTTTGTTATTAGTAACAGAATTGAAGGGTCCTACTGAAATTTGGAGATCCAGTTTGGAGAGATGCTGGTAAATATGTCAGCTTGCAACTCTACTTTTTCAGTTGTCTGCCACAATTGAAACAAGCTTAAAACAGTATTGTGGTCTCTGTAACTTGCACAAGGTATCAGCAGGTGAAGCCACTGCATTCCAAAGGCCAGTGACTCCTCTGGCAGTTGATACTGTGGGCAAACACAGAGCAGTAAAAGCTGGCTGCCTTGAAATGTTCAGCTTACACTTGCTGTGTCTGGACTGCAAAGTGCCTCTGGTGCCCTGCTGCTGGGAGTTTCCTCAAGGAAAACTGCAGTCTTGGTGTGTGTACTTTAGGGTTAGTTTTTATGTACTTTGCTGAGGCAAGGCCAGGGGAGAAAGAAGGAATCACTCAATTTTTTGGCTTGAACCTTGGAGTTAAAGGGCTGAAGAGTATGTGATTACTTCAAGGTAATTACATTGTTACAGAGTTAATTTAAACAGTTTATTTCAACAACTTATATTTAGTTTTCAGTGGTCTGGTCAGAATGCGTTTCCTGCCTGTATCAGCCTACTGAAATAAAATGTAATTTAAAACTGAATTCATTAACTGCACAAAATTAAGTTAATTTATTTGTCTGAAGAAGGTAGTCTTGTTTGTCCATTTTTTTCCTACCTGTGAAGCCTGTAGAAAGCAGGGATCTTACATGCTGTTTGGTTTTCTTCTTGTCCTCCTCCTCCCTTTCCACCAGTTTAGGGAAAATGATCTAACTTGTGCAAAAGCCAGAATAGGGGAGAGTTCCTTAACTGTTTTTGCTACTCTTCTGTTACAATGGTTTTGTCAGTCTTCTCATCTCTCTAGAATAAGATCAATGACCTATTTTTAGTGACAGGTGTAAGGTTGGGGAAAAAAGCCCAGCTGGTTTTGCAGCATTTATTATGTGCAGTGGTGCTGTAATCCCTCTTCTGAAAGGCAACATCCCAGACTTCTGGAAAGAAACAAGTTCTGGTACTTCTCAGGCTACTTTGCTTCTCAAGTTTTGTTCAGAAGTATTATTTATAACTTCTAGCTAAACAATTGCCAATGTCCCTTGCTCCCACAGCCGTGTGAGTGCAGGCTGTGCAGACCTGCTTAGCTGCTGCAGCAGTGCCTGCAGAGCAGTGAGCTCTGAGGTGTGAGCAGCTCGTGTCTGTGGCTCACACCCAGTGCACACACAGCCCTGCGTGCCTGGCCTTGCACCAGCAGCAGCACTGTGCTGTCCAGTTCATTCACAAGAGCTTCATTGTTGACTTCAGGTCTTGCTGACCACAGACATTCTATTTCTCTTAGATGAGTGTGAGGCAGGTTTTAAGCAGTTGCTGCTAAGGTATCTGTGTGATAATCTTGGAGAGACACTGTTGCTCTTTTGCTGTCAGTATTATTTAAACATCTGGCTGTTCTGTCGCTGAAGGTGACAAAACAAATCTATCAGACCTTAGTACTCATTCACCATGTGTTTGTCCCACAGATACACTTTAAGACTGAGCTGGCAAATACTCTGGCTGTTACAGCTGCTTGGCCAGACTGACCTTCAACTGCATATGAACAGAAGCAAGTGTTGCATTCTGAGTTTGGATAAAAAGTTCTTCTCTGTTCCAGTAATTTTGTTGCTTGCTGGCTGGCCTTTGCAGACCAGCACCTAACGGACTGTGATGGAACTGAGTAGTTGGATAACTACTGAGTAGCTGGAGTAGCAACTACTGAGTAGCTGGAAAACTTCTTTGAGTCAAGTTACATGCAGTTTTTGTGGATTTGCCCAGACATTAGCAGAGATCATTGAAACCATCATCAGTTTGCCCATGGCAAATCTGGTATAGTACGTTTCTGTGTAATGCTGAGAATCAAGAGTGCCTTGAAGGCTGGGAGGGATGTTGTGTGAGACATTCAGTTCAGAGTTACTGCACTGAATAGCTGAGACAGTTACTGGTGGTATGGGCAGGTGCATTCTGCTCCAGCTCAGTGCAGCGTGTGTGTTGCAATAGATGCAGAGACAATTATTAGTGATTCAGGGATCCTCTATGGAAATCAAGTAAAAAACGTCATCTAATAGTAATTTGTGTAGTGAGTGACTGCAACTGATGTGTGTGTTGGGGGTAAATCACAGGAGTGAAGTTGTCCTCTGGAAATCAGAGTTGACAGTGACTATAGCCTTTTCAGGGGTTCTTGATGTTCTTAGGGTTTTGGTTGGCTGACAAATTCCTGACCTCAGTGGGGACTGCTCTTCTGTTAGATCCTGTGATAAATCTCTTTATGAGGATACTACTGTGGGGAATCCCCAAAAAACATGGAATGCCAAAAAACACAGAATGCCAAAAATCTGGGCCTGTGTTCTCACCTGCCGGAGTCCCTGACTGCTTTCATTTCCTCGTGTAGTGCTGAGCAGTCAGCTGGGTGAATAATCCTATTATTTCCCGTCCTTTCCATGCAGAGAATTGGGGACTCGTACCGCGGCTATTGTGTGAGCGAGGCAGAGTTAGAGAGCGTTCTCACGCTCCACAAGCAGCAGACACAGAGCGTGTGGGGCACGCGCCAGTCTCCAAGCCCAGCCAAACCCGCCACACGGTTGATGTGGAAATCTCAGTATGTCCCATATGATGGGATCCCCTTTGTCAATGCAGGTAACTAACTTTTATTTTAATAACTGCTTTCAAAATTTCAACACCAGCTCCCAGCTGGCCACAAAGAAGAATCTTTATGTTGTTCCTTAGCTCTGATAAGGCCAGGACACAAACATAAAAAAAGAAGCAGCTTGCACACTGCTGTGAGAGTCTGAGGGAGCTTGTTTCCTTTTTTATGTTTTGCTATGATTATTTCCTTTTGTCCTTTAGAGTTTAGCTAAGTACCATTTGATGGGGGTTCTTGTGATGAGGTCTTTAGGGAGAGGTCCCATCTGCTCTCTTGGGACGTGAAAGCCCTCATAAGAGTGAGAGCTTGTTCAATTATTCTTGCCTCACTTGAAGATCTTTAGAAGAGTTTGTTCCACAGGAGTCAATAAACTATTTAAATTGCAAACATTAAAGTAATAAATAAATAAGTAAATTCAAAGTGCCAAACAAGCAAGACAGACCTTCAACAGACAAGACATCAACAGACCTCAGCAGAGAGACCTTTGGTGTTTGGGGTTCTTTTTGAAATGTTCATGCAGACTTCACAGCTTGATAATTACATATTTAGCTCATGCATTACATATGTGAAAGAGTTTACATATTGCCAAGAGTTTAATTTGCATATAAAATGAATGAGCTTTACTTGCTACATAGAGAAAATGAGTGACAGGAATGTAAGTTATGTTTGAGGTTTTTTCTTCTTTTTTTCCCTGAAAGTTACTAAAAAAGGGGAATTTTAGCACCAGTTTTAAAGCTTCAGCCATAAACTGTGACATAAAAGAAAACTAAGAATTAAATCAAAGTAACTTACCCATTCTTTTTCCCAACATGCATATGAGACATCTTTAGTTTCATCTAGATATTTTGGTATCTTATGGAAACACATTATGTTGCTGTTATAATACTTCAGAAGTTTCTGGGTATATCACTTGTGGCATAGGCAGCTCCTTGCCTGCATACTTGAGTACACAAACTATAAATAAAAGATAACTAAATGTGATGTGGAAGAAATTTGGAAGATGTTCCTTTCTTGACCACTTCAATGCTTTGCTTGTCAATCCCTTTTGTTAGAGGCCTGACTGGAAGAAGTCACTTAATTCGAGTTTAGAGCAAAGCAGTATTTGAGCTTGTCTGGTTTTGTGGGAGTGTGCTGTGCAGTTAAGATTTCTTAACTGCAAGGCTGAGCTTTTATGGGACAGCATGGTCTGAGGTGTTGATTTAAGCCAAGATGCTGGAAATGTCTGCTGACCTTGTCTCATGGTATGACCCCAGCTGGAAATCACCACAGAGCTGCTCACTCATTCCCCCAGTAGGATGGGGGGAGAATTGGACAGCTATAAGTGAGAAAACTCATAGGCTGAGATAGGAACTGTTTAAAAGGTAAAGAAAAATACACACACACAAGCAAAGCAAAGAATTAATTCACAACTTTCCATCCTCAGGACAGCATTTGTGACGGTTACTTGGGAAGACAAACACTCTAACTTTGAATGTCCCCCCACCTTCCTCCTCCTTCCCTTGGCTCTGTATGCTGCACATGATGCCATATGACATGGAATATGACTTTGGTCATTTTGGGTCAGCTGTCCCAGCTGTGTCCCCTCCCAGTTTCTTGTGTCCCTAAGCCTCCTCATTGGTGGGGGTGGGGGAGAGGCAGAAAAGACCTTGACTCTGTGTAAGCCCTGCTCTGCAGTAACTAAACACCCCTGTGTTACCAGCACAGCATCATCCCTGTGTTTCCAGCACAAATCCAAAACACAGCTTCACACTGGCTCCTGTGAAGAAAGTTAACTCTATTGCAGCCAAAACCATCCCACCTTTGATTTCAGCTGTGGGTTTTCTGCATTGTTTTGGGAGTTCTGCTTTTTATGTTTATTACCAGTATTGTGCTCCTTTGGTAGCTTGCAAGACTTCTCATCTTGTAAAGTACTGGTGCTCACCAGGGCAAAGTCCAGTATTTTGTCCTCACATATGTTGAGGAGTGCTGTGAGGTGTAATAAGTTTGAGAAATGGTTTAAAGTGCTCTGTGTTCTTACATGCTGGGAGAGAAGCATTTGCATTGTATTTGCTTGCTGTACCTGAGGGTTCTGCCTTCTGAAGAGTCTGATGGCAAACAGAAAGGACTGCTTCACAACTCTTATCTCCGCTGTAGATAGTATTTTGCTGTAATGAATTAAGTGGTTGCTTGAACAGAGTGCATTACTTTCTGTTTTCAGGAAGCAGAGCCATTGTAATGGAGTGCCAATATGGGCCAAGGAGGAAAGGATTCCAGCCCAAAAAAGCTGGTGAGCAGGAAAGCACCTCTAGCCAGCTGTACAAAGCCACTTGTCCAGCAAGGTAAGAATTATGCATAAAGCTGTAAGAGTGACTGAGCATCCTAAGAATGCATTCTTTCTGTGAGCCATGACAGAGCACTGGTTTGGGGTGGTAGCTGATACTCACAGTAGCTCTTCTGCTTTATCTCCATGATAACTTGAGGTTGATGCTCATTTAGAGGTAAGGAGGAAATGCTGTCCTGTCTGACTTAAGGCTGAAATTTGGTAGGTTTCCTGAATGCAAAACAGCAGTACATCACTCCATGAAATACAAGTGGGATTCATTATCTACCTGAGCATTCACAAGTTATTGTGGTGTCCTTTAGTGACTATTTCTGCTTCTAAAACTTTGTCATCTTATTTGTTGTTTCTTCTTCAGGCTTTTAATTGCACTGATACCAATCAATCATGCTAATTTAGCACATGTTCTGTGTGCTGAAGGAGTTACAGTTCTTCCTGTTCACTGGGGATTTTCTCCTTCTTCAACACTAATTTTTTTTTTCCTCACCCTTGAGCATTCTCCTGGGTGCCTGTTCAGTTTTTACTGACCTAAGAGTGTGTTTGGTGATAGTTGCAGCTAGGTCTGTGTGTGTTCAATCCTGCATAGCTGAGTGAACTGTAGCCTGTTCACAACTGGTGTTGTGCTTTTCCTATAGTGAGGGACGAGGGCTTTTGTTGAGGAGTAAAATCACTCTGGCTGAGCAGCTTCCAGACCAGAACAGAAGTGTGTCTGTCTGCATCCATATCTATTAATGTATCCTTAAGAATTTTGCAGTTCTTTTAGACTCCTCACACCTGACATCACTCTGCTTGAACTTTTTCTATATTAATGCCTGATATGAAGTAAGTGGGATTTTTGCCTTTCCCTTCCCAAGGACAAAGTATACTGATGGAGAATTTTTTTTATTCCTCCTTGGAAGGATCTATATTAAAAAGGTCCAAAAGTTTCCAGAATACAGGGTTCCTACTGACCCTAAAATTGACAAGAAAATCATAAGAATGGAGCAGGAGAAAGCATTCAACATGCTGAAGAAGAACTTGATAGATGCTGGTGGTGTTCTCAGGTGAAACTTCCACTTTTTTCTTTACTTTCACAAATGAAGCAGAAAAGAGCGGTATTTTACTTGATTTTTTTTTTTACTTAGTCACTAATTAATAGTAAAAAAATCCACAATGTCAGTAAGACTTCTGTGGCAGTGAAGTATTAAATTGGTAAATGTGTTAAGCACTAAGCTATGGAGCTTCAGCAGGTGTTTCCTTGCAGGGTATTGATAGAAATAGTTGTATTGTTTTAGGGTTCATCTAGTTAGTTTTGCATTGAAAGGTGTGAGAGGGCCCTGAGTTCTGAAAGACATCTTCTTGCTCAGGAGCTGTAAAAACTTGTCACACTGACTAGGTTTGGTAGTTCTCAGACTGTTCCCCCAAGATACTAATTTTTTGCCTTTGTTTGAGGATTGTGTGTATAACTTCTCTCCTTCTTGCTAGGTGGTATGTACAGTTACCTACTCAGCAAGCCCACCAGTATCATGAAATGGAAACTTCCTGCCTCCCTCCTTCACCATCCCATCTTTCTCTGTCTTCTCCTGAGGAGGAGGAGGAAGTCATTAGAGATGAGAACAGTACTCTGCCTTCTCGACTTCATCCTCAAGTGGCAGACAAGATCCGAGAGCTGGTGTCTCAGGGGGTAGAGCAGGTCTATGCAGTGAGGAAGCAACTAAGGTACAGAACTGTCTGCAGTGCTCAGTCTATAGTGCTATATCTACTTTTTATTTTATTAATTTGGTTTGCAGCTAAAGGGCAGTACTGGTGCATTACTAAATCTAATTCCCAGATGTTGTAAGTCTGTTTTTCCCAGCTTTTGATATCTTTTCTTATCATTGTAGATAGCCATTAAGAGCTGCTGTACTCTTTAAAGTTACTTGAATAAATGGGGGTTTTAAATTCCAAATTCTGTAGCCAATGCACAAAGAACTGGCTCAGTAGATCATCTAGCTTACTTTTGTCTTGTCATTGCAACAAGGGGAGGGAGAAGGTAGCAGAGTCTCTTAACAGAGGGAAATAGTGGAATATATTTAAGTATGGTAATAAATGTCCTTTAACATATGACAGAAAGTATGTGGAAAGAGAATTGTTCACACCTGATGAAGTGCCAGAAAGACATAACCTGTCCTTCTTCCCCACTGTGAATGACATCAAGAACCACATTCATGAAGTGCAGAAGTCCCTAAGGAATGGAGAGATGGTGTATAATTCAGAAAGTATCCCAGCAACGGTATGTTGGCCTTTGTGTGTCTTGTTGATTTTTGGAGTTAAATACTGGAAATCTTAATTTTTACCACTTAGCTGTATTTCATCCAAAATTTTCTGTGCCTTTATATTTGCGGCAGCAATATTTTCAGTGCAATCTGTGGCTGAGTAAGACTGGATTAAATGTGAATAAAACCTTCTGACTTATTCAGTATTTATCTCATCAGCATTAGATTGCTGTTCATTGGTTGACAAATTACACTATATTAGCACTTCTTGATGACTGCATGAACTGAAAGCCATTGGTGTAGAAAAATTGACATGTGACAATTTTATTCATGGCTTTGTCACTGTCTATGTTTTGAAGAAGTTACTACTACTTTTCAGTAGCTGAAAAAATAGGGATGAAGTGTGAAGGTGCCATCTAAATTAAGACTTAATAAACATTTTGAATGTGTAAATAGTAATAAATGCACTTTACAGTAAGTGCAGTTTGGTTGGAGTTGAATCTTGTGAACGCTCAGTAGCTCTTAAATCTTGTTCCTTAATTTTCTTCCATCTATTGAGCAATAAAGGGTACACAGTGATCCTAGTTTTTCCAGTTATGAGATTAACTGCTAAGAAATGGCTGATTTAAAATCAGCTTTGACAAACAGTACTGTTAAATCATGCTGTTATCAGTCTTTTCCCTCTCCCTACACTGGTGTAGCCCAGGTGAGTGAGTGTGCTTGTTAGCTAGCCAAATGGTTTGACTATTTTTTGTTTTAAAGTCTGTTTAACTGTTATGAGCAGATAAAGCAGACAATCTTCCTGATATACAGCGCATATTTTAAAATCTTTTACAGTATTTTTTTGTGAATCAAGAGGCCCTAAAATGCATAATCATAAAGAAGTAAGAAAATGTAGTTTTATGCACTGTTTTCTTATCAGTCCTGTATTGAGCCTGTGTTCCTGTAGACAAGCTTGCACCCTTTCTAAGAACTGAGTTCTCTTTCCTTTCAGCTGCAGTGGACCACAGACAGTGGGAGTGTCCTCACAGAAACAGTGACTGTTGCGTTTGCCTCACCACCTTCAGATGGTAGGACTGCATAACTGTATAACCTGTGTCTCCAAATGTGTTTTATTAGCTATGTCACAGAAGTTCATTTTCCTTCCCAGGAGGTTGCTGTCATGTCCTGTCACTCAGGTGAACTTAAGAAGGATTATTTTGCTATAACTATTTTTGGGTTTTTTGGTTTTTTGTTTGGTTTTTTTTTTTCTATTTGACTGCATGTGTGGAAAAAAATATGCGTAGTCATGATTTTGTTGGCAGAAGTGTTAAAATTACAAATTTGGCTTTTTTTTAGCATCTTCAAGCAAACAAAAATTTTAGTGGGATGGTTGTCTGGAAAGGGCATTTTACATTGGATGAAAGTGCTAATAATACCTCTTTAGAGAGAATTAAGTTACTACTGAACAGATATGTCTGTCAGGGGACACTATACTAGGATCCAGCAGGGGAATTGAGTTTCCACGGGGTTTGTGCTTCACATATCTTTAAATGTCTTACTGAAAGGGACTTCAGTGCACTTTGAGGCTCCTGCTTCTCAAAAGTCATTGTCCTGATGAGTTCCAGTGCTAGGATAAGGCACTGAACAACAAGCATTGTGTTTCTGTTGTTGGAATTAAAAGCAATCTTTTCCATTTTCCTTGATGCTTAGAACAGAAATAGAAACATGGATGTTAAATGGCAGCAGGGCTGAGAGATGTATTTCTTCAGTTCTTTGTGATGTAACTTCTTTATTAATGTGGCACCCAAGCATCATCTCTTCCCGGTGCTTGTTGAGTCACAAAGTCTTAAACTTCTTCCCAGTCTGTTGCAAAACTAGAGTGTAGAAATGGTAGATTTCTCTATAAAATTATGCATTGTTGGTTGAAGGACTGGTTTTTTTTGAAGATGTTTGTTGAAACTGGGTTCCTACTACTATTACTTCAACTTCCAAACATGTACTAAGACAAAATACAAGTGTTTGTAACTAGATCTACTTGCTACCCACATAGTTAGAATTCCACTTGGGCTAAGATGTTCTGTTGGATTATGGTGGCTGGTAATAAATTTAAATTAGATTACTCTGCCTTTCCCACCCTTGGTTCAAGAATATTTTGTCTAGTGTGACACAAAAAGAACTTTTCCTCATGTTTGTAGATGCTTTCCCCATCCTCTGTGTAATAGGTTTGATGTGAAACTCATCAGAGCCATCGCTGGCTTTTAGCAGGGATGTGATTGATGTGAGGTGGAAGAGTTCAATTGTGTGCACATGTTCAGATCATGCTGCACTTTGCAGATGGTTTTCATCTCAGCAGCAGAGCCAGCTGGTTTCCCCATCTCACTCAAACATGGTGGTGGGTACATTTTGTTCTAGACAGCTGAAAGAGAAGTTTACAGGGACCAAAGGGGCACTGCTGTAGTTGTCATGGTCAGGTTTACTTGTGTGAACAGTTATCCTGTGGTTCTTGCCTGGAGAAGCCCTGATGTGTTTGTGTTTCCCCTTAGGTCAGGGAGTAACGTGGGCCAATTTCTTATTTGTTGTAGCAGGAAATATAAACCCCCAGAGGTTTGGCTCACTGGATGAGTTTTCCTCAATGACTCGGTGAACCTGATTTATGTGAAGCAGTTCCATGTACACCAGTGCATTTACTGTTACAAAAAGGCAAAGTTTGGGCTCTGTTTCATTTGGGATTTTTAAACTTATTTTGGCCACTGCTGCAGTGGCTTAATTCGAACTGAAAAGCATTATGTAATCTTGGTGCTTTTTGGGAAGAATTCCAGTGTTTATGGCTCTGAGAGAACATGAGGTTAAATTTTAGACTCAGCTTGAACAGTGTCCCTCTTTTTATAGGAAGTCTTGGTTTTTTAGGAAAAAAATAAATTTGCAATGTGAACAGACTTACTGTACTTAAGCTTGCATGCCTGTGTTAACATTGCCATTACTGTGTTTTTATGGAGAGACACAGAACAGTTGTGCCCTCAACAGCTGTGGCAGAGCTCATCAAGGATGACTTTTACATGAACTGTATACATATTTGTTTTAATTTCAGCACATATATATGTATACATATATGTTTTAACATACATATTTGTTTTAATTTCAACTTGTGCCAAATGGAGACAACTGTGCATTTAAGAAATCAGGCAGTAACAGAACTTGTTTGTGCAGAACTCCCTGTCTCCATTTGATACGACTTTGTTTGTAGCAAGTAGAGGAGGAGTTGAACTATTACCTTTTTTCCTAAGGGTGTTGCTGTAGAATATGACTCAGGGAGAGAATTGCTATCTCTTGCATGTGAACATTCACATATGCATATGGGATCTCTGTATTATATTCAAAAGAGTCTAAACATTTGAAGTACTTGTGTTCAAGAAGATTTATAGGTTTGTATGTGTCTTCTGGTCAGTTGTGATAGTTAAGAGTCTGCACATCATTATGTATGTTGAAAAATCTACCTCCACTCAAATTGCTGGAAAATTTTCCTGTGATTTTCTGGTAGAAAATGTTTTGTAATTGACCATTTTCAATTTTTTGCATTCACCAGACTAATCTGCATTCACAGGACAAGTTCTTCTATTACCTCCACATCAGTGGAACTGAGAAATAGGAAGCTGAGCACTGTCTGCCTGTGTCTGCATAAAGCTTAACCAAAATGTTCTGGGTGGCTCAAACAGGAAATGGAATGATCTCATGAGAAGTTTTCTTGCAGAAATTGTTATAAGCAAATCTCAGTTTTTGCTAAACTTCAGGAAATGAAGTACATCATTCCTGCATTAAATAAGAAGTTTGACAATATTATATAATCTGTAGGCTGAAAGACCTCCAGATAAAAGGACTTTAGATGATATTGCCTAGAAGTTTTGCTAATCTCACAAAGATGGGAAGGGAGTGGTGAGACATAGAAAATTTCCGGTGTAGATTTTTATTTTGAAAGACAGCCCTTTCTTTTCATACCTGTGTGTTTTTAAGCCCTTACTCAGGTATAGATATTGTCAAATTATTTGCTGCTTTGCTAGAAATATTTCAGCTTTTATGTTATGACTACAAATTCAAAGCACAGTGTAGGGTGCAATTACTTTGCTCTCAAGAACAGATTTATGGGTGCCTCTGGTTTTTGCTCTGTACAGATACATACACACAAACTTCCTGCAGTATTGTCTTTTTGTCATACCCAGTCTTCTTTCTTTAGCACCCAAGTTCTGCAAAGAGAACAGCATATATATGTGTATATATATGTATTCTGCATTGAGATTGAAGGGAGTTTGTTTGGTTCACCGGGGAGGCTTTTATTAAACAGGAAGAAGAGATTTGTCATAACTGTCTGCTTCCTCACTTTGGCACCGTAGGGAGCTCAGGAGTGGAGTCAGTCATCACCAAAGCAGAACCCAACCAGAGCGGGGAGTCCTTGATACCAGAAACAGCTCAGCTGTTGTCTTCACTCTCTTCACTCCAGCCCAAGATATTTGCACAGCTTCAGGTACAGTCAAGTCATTTACAGAACATCAAACATGCTGTGCTGGAAGTGCTGGAGGCGAGCTGAGAGCAGCAAGTTCCCTCTCAGCAGATCCCAAACGCAGCTGGGTAACGCAGACTTGGAAGTAGCTGTCAGCTCTTACTCTGGTTGCTCTTGCATGACATATTTAGCATATAGCTGTGGTGCAGGGGATCCCACTGCCATCTTTTGGCACTTTGAAGTTAGGGTCTGTTGTGAAGGCAAAACCAAGAGGATAAAAGCAGTGGGTTTCTACCTCAAACCAAGTATCTGTTCATTTTCTACACGGTCCAGTCATTTCATAATGAAAATGCTGCTGCAGAACTGCAGGGAGATAAGACATTCTTGTTTATACCTTTTAAATCCTTCTCCAGCCTCTTAAGAAAATATCTTAAAATCCTGAAACTGCTCCTAGCTCAGAGCTGTAACCTTGCAGATTGAAAGGCTGAAGAGGGAGGGATAAGAATGTCATGCTAAAAGAGCTTCTTCTAAAGCTCATCTCCCTTCAAAGCTGGTTCTCTTAACCCTCTTCCTTAACTGCTTTGAAAACCTGCCTTCATATTTCCTGAATCCTAACAAAATGCATGATCTTTTCCCTAGAAATATGATCTGTAGTAAGATTCTGTTCTACTTGCTGTTTCTTCTCTTTCTGAGGACAGCTTCATTCCATCTCACATCATTTTATTTAAAGCAGTGTGCTTAGCTTGTTGTACCCACCTCTTGTGGGAATGGGCAGTACTGGGGAATGATCTGAAACTGAACATCAATCCAAAATTGGAACTTTATGGTCATAAGCAATCTTCTCAATGCTGCTGTTTTCAAGTACCTTTTGAGCCTAGAGTTGCTGGGATTGAGTGTTCAGAAGAGTTAATGAGTAGGAAGTCAGAAGCCACCTAGACAATACATTCTGTCAAATGCAAACTCCTTCTGCTGCAAATACTGCTAGGTTGGTACTTCTGCCTTCTCTTTCACAGGGATTACAGCTGCAGACAGCATTTACCTCGACAAACGGATCAACAGCCCTGCTAGCTGTAAATAACCATTCCCCTCCCAGCCCTGCAGGTCTCCTGGATTCCCTGGGGGGTGCACTAGGCAGCCATTCTCTAGCACTGAGTCAGGGGCACAGTCTGCAAGCAGGTGCTGGCCTAACACAGGACAGTGCTGCTGCACCTGCTTTTGGGGCTCTGTCTGGCTCTGATCAGAGTCTGGTTGCCATGGGCCAGCTGGTACCAGCTGAAGGGGTGGATGACTCCAGAAGCCTGGAAGGAGGAGTGCAGCAGATTCTTCTGGGAGATGTGCAGACTATTCCAGTACGGATTGTGGACAGCCAGCCAGCACTTAGTAAGTTGTAGTTTTCTCAATAATATGTCAATATTAGAATAGAGAAAATACAGTGGGTTTTGTTCTGTGTGTCTTGAAGAAAGAAGACAAATGTGTTGATAGTGGGGAACCCCAAGACAGACTTCTTTCAGACAATTCTATTTAGGTTTTTTTTTTATTTTTCTGTGGGAAAGAGGAAAGATTTTTTTTTGTGAAAGGGATTTTATATCTCCAAACATTTTAATTTTTTTTATAATGTGGTTTAAATATTGTTACTCGAGGGGAGCTTTACTGGAACAAGTTCATGTCATCTTGCAATGTTTTAGAGCACAGTAGGTAACGTAACTGGCTATCAAGCTAAAAAGCAGTAAACTTCATATATGCCTTAACTATTAGCTTGAGTTCCTGAAATATTTTTCCTTTAAATGAACAGTTATTGTGGCCGAAGCATTGTCAATGGAGTTTGAACTTCAGTGTGTGATTTTTGTTTTGTTTTTAAGCTGAAGAAAATACAGAGGGTGTTGTTACTTGTGTGAGCGAAGTTAAACAAGAAACAAGAGAAAAAGCATTGTCTATGGAAACAGATGAAATCAGAGACTGCCACAGTTCCTCACCATAGTTCTTCGTCTTCACCTGTGAAGCCTGGAAGGATTTTTCAAATTGGAGAACTCTAAATGTCTTGGAAGGAAAGGCAGGTGCTCTCAAAGTACTGCCATTCTTTTTTAATTGTTTATGACATTCAGACTAAGCATATTTTAGAGTATTTCTGACAGAAAGCTGTTTTGGTTTGACTGATGTGGCTCACTGCCAACTCCAGGTCATTCAGTTGCCCCATAGAACACCACCTCTCTCTTCTGTTTCAAGTTTTGAGTAATTTGGATTCTCTCCAAATGGCCCATTTTGTTCATTGTTTCTGAAGGTCTTCCACAATTTAATTCCTTAGCTTTAGAATGTGGATCACAATACTGGGTTCACATTTTCTGCTTGAGACCCTTGACTTTTATTGTACTACAGAGACCATAGAATCTGTCAGCTCCAAGATCACAGAATCCAACAGCAAAGTGGATTAGTATGTCAATGGTTTTGTGACAAAAGGAAGATCCAGGATGCTAAACTTCAAAGTGATAATGGACATGGATGCTTAAGAAAATGCAACTTTGACCTGATCATAATGTTAATGGTGTGAAGATCAAGGAGAGGAGAAAGGTGAGGTTTCCAGGTGAACGTAAGGTTGTATGATAAAGAAAAGTGTGTGAATTGTGACAGTGAATGTTTTTGACTTGACATCTTTGAACTTAAGTTCTGGCTTTATAATGAGGTTCATTGGTGCATGCAGCTTTCCTTTGCAGCAGTGCTGTAATTGCAGTTGGTCATAACAATTAAATGTAGGAGTCTTTCTCATGGACAATGATTGATGCTGCCATTTCAGCTTATCTACCTCTTGCTTTGTGCACTTAAAGCTATCAGCTCAGACAAATGTGATTTAACCTGCTGTTGTGTGGTATGTAGGGCTTGTGAATACATTCCTAACAAAGAGAAGCCCAAGAAAACAAAGGAGTAATCAAACCAGTATGTCCAAGTATGCTGTCACCACAACATTCAGAAAACAAACTAATCTTTTTCAAAAGTGACATATTCTAAGACTTATGTGGTTCATACAATTAAAATAATTACCAGGAATCTTTAGAAAATTGAATGTGATAAAAATTAAGGTTTAGTAATATTTGAGTTAAAGCCATAGTAAGTGACAAGCACTGAGCTGTGTAATGTGTGACAGAAGTTTCCTGCAGAAAAAAAATCACACCTACCAATAACTTGGAATCAATTTAAAGCTGTGAATGAAATGAAACTGATAACAACATAGATATCAAGTTAAGCAATTGCATTGTTTGCTTCAGATGTTGAATTTCTAGAGCAACATTCAGAGTAGTCTGTATACAGAAATAGGAGCCTTTCTTAGTTCCTGCTAAGTAGTTGAGAGCTTGATCATAAAATAGGTTTGTTTTCTGCATGCTGTGAGGACTTCTCTCTTTTTCAGACTTGAAAACAAGCAAAGTAAGTACCCCTGGAAAATTAGTCGTTAATTTATGTAGAGAAGAAAGTGTTGTGAATATTATATGAACAAAAATATTAACATTTTTAAATTGTTAGTTTACCTTACATTCAAGCATTCACAAACATCTTCTAAACAGTGGCCATTTAAAATTATTTTTTCATTTTGTTTTGAGTATTTAAAGATAAATCTTTCAAAAGCCTTACATTGAAGTTGTGTTCCAAATGCCTTTATGTGCAAAATCTGTTAGGTGCTATATTTTAGTCTTAACATATATTAACTTCTCTGAGGTTTACTAACATTGTAAACATTATTTGTTTAAAGCTAATGTTTATGGGTTAGCTCCCATTAGAATTTTCCAACAAGATTAGGCTCTTATTAAATAAGAGCCAGTATTTTATCATGCAAGTACATTAAAAAAATCTCCAGTTTTTTCGGAGCCTCTAATATTTAGAATCTACACTGACTTGTTTTATGGTAGGCTTTATTCATTCCTGGGTAGGAAAAATCCCACAAGATTCACCTGTGGCCTTTATCTATTTGGTTGAGGTTTTTAATCTTGCTTTGTTTGCTGGTTGTTTTTTTGGTGGGTTGTTTTGCTAATTGTCAAAATATCTCTCAGATGGATGTTGTCTGCTGCACTGTTAGTTCTGGAGCACTCAGACAGCAGCCCCCTTCTCTTTTCCAGCTCAAAAACTGCATTCCAGAATGGGTACCTCCTTCCATGCTGCTGTGTTCAATAATTCCATTATGGCCAGCTTTTCTTTAAGTTTAAGCTATTGCATTCCAATTTATATTCTCTTTCCCTACATTGCTCTTTTTTTGAGACTTTTTTCCCTCATTGTTGAGAATTCTCCTTTTGAAAGAAGGAATTACAGTTAAAAATTACCAGCAAGAGGTTATTTCAGTTTTAATTCTCTTCAAAGCAGGCAGTAAATTTGTGATTGGAGTAAAAGCTTAAGGAAATTCAAGTTGTATTTCCATCAGTTCTTGCTTAGTTCCCTCATTAACAGTTCTGATTTTAACATGGTTCTTTCCACCATGAGCTGCAGTCTCATCCTGTGCTGCACAGTATTTCTGGTGGTATTTCTAGTTTTGACCTAGTGCTCACGGAGAAAACACTCTTTTAGTCCATCTTGGATTGCAGGTTCTGAAATGAATTTTGTATTCTGTCCTGATTTGCATGGTACTCTGAAAACTGCATGGTACTCATGGTACTCTGAAAACAATAGAAGAAAAAGTTGGAAGAATTTTAAAGAAGCAATAAATAATTAGTTGCTTTAAAAGCTGGGGATTAGACTTGCAATTCTATTATTCTGTGTATTGGAAAATTTATTTTAAATGATTCTTGAGTCAATACTCACATTTTTGTCTTCAGTTTTCTTCATTTTCACAGAATTTCAGTTCTTTGTCTTCCAGACACATATTTCATAATTTATTACTCTGTCATTTATTTTAATTTAATATAATAATTCTTTTTCAAAGTGTGTTTTACATTTGTTTTGTGCATGTTGCTGAAGGAGGAACATGAACTCACCCCTATGTCCAGTCTCTATATTTGATTTAATGCCTTTGTTTACTAATATCCACCTACATTTTACAGAGAAGACTGTTATGTATCTGAAAAAAACCCAGAAGTAAATGCTGCCACTTTCAATGGTTAAAGTTGTTTAAATAGAGCACTCAAGGCTGATTTGTCAGAGTAATCTATGTAGCTTGATGCAAAGTACTTGGTTATTACTTTGTGTTGGAATTGCAGTTTTTTACTTTGTTTTCTTGTGGTTGTTGTGTGTAAGCACTTACTTTGCAAACCTAGAATTCCTGACCTTCAACAGCACTGTAAATGAACAGCTGATTCTCCAGTTATCCTTGTTGTTGGTTGTCTGTAAGAGTGATTGGTTGCTTTACAAGAAGAGATGTGCTTCTGTATGTGCATGCAAAGATAACCTTTTGGTAAAATGTATAGAAGGTATAAAAAGGTACACATCTATAGCTCTCATTCAAGGCTGGAGGCCTCTTGGGTGGAAACCAATACTGGTAATGAGTGTTTTTTGTGGTACAAAATTATTGCAATTTCCACAAAATTTAGAGACACAAATGTCTGTGTATGTATGTATATTTTTTTTTCTATAGTAACTTAATGTATAATATTCCTATTCAAATGTAAACTACTTGTTCTTTTAAAGTAGTGGTCTGTTTTGTGGCTATGGGGGCTCATGGGGAGAAAGGCAAGAGCTCTTTCAGGGCAGAGGATTTTAGGGATGATGGAGAACAAGTAAGACAGCTTCAGGAAGACCAGGTGGAAGAAGTTTCTGAAAAGCAAGGATCCTGCTGGGAGGGCTGATGGGGGCTGTGTCTGGGGGTTTTGGGGTTGAGAGCCCAAAGGCTCAATGCAGTTCCTGAGTCTATCCATAGTCCTCTTTGTGCCAGTAGTGGATAGTGTGAGTTCATGGTAGGAATTTAAAGATATGAAGAGAAGGGAAGCCTGCCCTGCCCTTAAAAACAGAAAAGCTGCTTGAGTTTTGGTGAGCATCAGAGGCAAATAAATGACTCCCCATAGTCTGAGGTGCCCATTCTTAGCTTCTGATATGAAGAAGAAACTCCTGTTGGAGCTTCAGCCCAGGGCTGTAGACTCTTTACCTGTTACCAAAGAAAACAAGCCTTTTTTTTTCAACTGAATTAACCTGCTGCTTTTCTCATCCCACTGACAGCAGCTCAGTATCTGCCCAAATGTCTCTTTCTTCACACTTATTAAGGCTTCCACAGAAGTCCCATGCCCTCAGGCCCTCCAATTCTCAGTGTTTCTCTGTTGGACTGTTGAGGAGCTGCTGAGTTCATTGCACAGGTAAACACTGGTGAGCGTTGCCCCATCAGTTTTTCTCCCTCCTTCCCCACAATCATAAGTACATATGTTCCTTTAAATTGCATTAAGATTTTTTACTTGCCTGCTTAGGGGTTTATCATCATTACTGGGATGAGTATGAAGGAGCCCTGTTTCACAAACCATTTACATTCACAGCAGTTGAAAGGATTTGATAGAACAAGGAGGAAAGGATGGTTTCTGCCAGCTGTTAGGGCTGGCCTCTTTCATTCCACTTGAATTCCTGATTTGGCTGTGGATAGTAGATACCTGTTAAGTTGTCTGTCTGTTGGCAAAAGTGCAATTTTCTCCCCTAAGGCTATTCAAGCAGATAGGTTCTCAGATGTTTAGGTAGGAAGAATCTGTTCCATTAGGGATAGAAAGTGTGATACAGCTGAGGATGGTGCTGGGGAAAGTTACTGCTCTTTATGGGTCTCTGATGAGAAATTCATCTTTGATCTGCCTTGCCTTTCTGAACAAAGCTCTTGTAGGAATAGACTTCAGAGCATATCCCATCAGTAACAATTATCTTCTCCCCAAAACAATGCACCTCATTAATGAATGAAACAAACCTTATGTAAAACAGGTGGTGTTGATTTTTTAGGTCAGAAGCTCTCCAGCTGGCCTATCCATCAACAGCAGCTAAGGTATGATTTGGGGGAAAGGAGGGAAGAGCAAATAACAGGAGTGTGTGTGTGCATGTGATTTTTTTCCAATATAAGCTCTTACATCTTAATATCCCATTCCTTTTATGATTCACATGACAAATGACATGTTTATTTTCTGAAGGGATTTGAACTCTTTTTTTGAGAGTCTTCAAAGAAGTGATTATAAATAGTACTGCTGTATCATAAAAACTACTAGTACATGTTTGTCAACTAGGACCCCATCCTGTTCTTGTACAGAAGGGGTTTTTAAAGCATGGAAAGCTTTATGAGGACAAGTACTGACTGTCCTTGTCCTAAGGAGTCTTCCCTGGACAGGAAAATAGGAGCTGTGGGAGTAATTCTCAACCATAGTCTGTTAGCCTTTGATAGATAGAAGAAACCTTGCAAAAAGCATATATATATATGATAGCCCCTCACACAAGGTACCTTTGGATACTAAGTATTTTTAAAATACATCACATACGTATATAGATGTATGTACCTCAAAATAAAATGGAGACATTACTTTTAGTTGGTTGCACATAGTTCTGTAATACCATTTTAATTACACTTATCTGTGGTTAAATGATGCAGATATTTTAGGGCACATGTAATCAGATATTTTAATGTGGGTAATTGGAATTCATGTTTTTACTACAGCCATCCTTCACTCTCTGCAGTGCAGCTCAGTTGGTCATTTGGCATGTACTGGCTTCTGTTAATGACATTCTGCCTGTTTAAACAAGAGCATGCTGTTCTAAGCAAATTAAATTTCTCACTCTTTTCTAACAGGGATTGATATGGCTCATCATGAAAATCTGTTTCTAGTATAGTGCTTTCATAAGAGTTGATTTCTGGGTCCTCACTAGGAAGGAACTAGAGAGCAAAAGCTTACATACTATTGGATCTGCCATTTGGACATTTGTCTTATGTACTTGGATTTCTATAGCAGGACAGTGTCAATACAGCATAAACTGCCACTAAATTATTGTAAACATTTCAATTCTCTCCCTTGGTCAAGTGTTGACGGTTCAGTGGCTCCAGGAAAGATCATAGGAATATTTCTGCTCTTTGAAGAACAGTTTCTGTCTGTAGATACTATTTAAAACATAATTGGGTGTGGCAATCAAATGGCAGTAGGAGAACCAGAAACAGAGGTGTGTGTTGGCAGATCAGTGAGAGAGGGAGTTCAGTCCCAGTGTCCTTGTGCCAGACTAACATGCTCTGTGCTAGTCCTGAAAGCAGCCTTGACAAACAGTGATTGTCTTTCTGCTGACATAGCTGTTCTTTCTGCTTGCCCACTCAAGAAGTTCTACAAGCCTTCAAGGAACATGGAAAGCATGAAGGTGTGTAAGATCTTGTGAGAGGACCTGCAGGAATGAAACAGAGGAGATTAAAGTTTGATGACATGACTTCTATGTAATGCACTTTCTTTGGTGGGAGGATTTTCCAATAGAGAATAAAAGTAAATCTTCCTTTTTAGAATATTAGTATTATTGCTGACTCTCTCTGGTCTGCTCAACAAAATGCCTAGTGTTTGGACAGATCTCAATGTTTTTATGAGTGTGTCCCAAAATGTTAATACTCATTCATACATTGCCATCTTTGCATGTCATACTGAAACTGTAGGCCAGTGGCACCTCCTTGATATTTTTATCGTCTCTGTGCATTTTATTAAAGTAAATGAAATCTTGTTTTATAAAGAAACAGCAGAGAGCTTTTATCCAGAGTCCTTTCAGAGCTACACTTTTTACAGAGTAAGCTTTAACTTAATAATATTGTATATTTGTAACCCTTTAATAACCTAAAATAACCAAAGCCTTTTCACTTTTTTTTCTTTTTATCCAGAACATGAAGCATTCCAAAGTACCCCTCAAAACCACCATGCTCAGAGCCTGAAAGGTTTGGCACTTTCCCTCCTCTCTAGGTGATCTTCCATCTGTGCTGTGTTCAGTGTCTTGCATCTAACACCAGAATCCATAGTTAAGACCTGTCCCATCACATGAGAGCACTTTTTCATTTGCATAATCTACCTGGTCACTTGACAGCATGTCAGTAACAATATCTGCAAACCACCTTTTGTTGATTAACATCGGTCACATCAGTTCTAGATGTGGCGAATTTTCTTTGTGCATGGAATTTGCACTGGTTTAGTGATACCAGTGGTGTCAAAAGTAGTCAAGTCTCACGAACTGAGAGCCTTCTGTTGTGAGTTTGATCTTAATCTGAGCTCTGTCTGAGCTAGGGACAAATTCTGAGGCTGTGCCCCTGTGTTCTGCAGCACTTGTTGAGCAGAAGAAAAATCTTGCAGCTCCCAAGAACAGCTGCATTTGTGTTTCTGCCTAATGTAAAGCTGCTGATATTAATCTCTTGAAGGATGGCTCATGGAATTCTGCTTTCCAGCTTAAGGGATGGTGAAGTCTCTGTGTATGAAAACTTGGTGGAAAATGTACAGAGAGTTGGGAGTGCCTAGAACAGTCACCCCGAAGTGTCCTTAATTTAGGAATAGGAGCTGGTAAAAGGAATAAGCAGCTGAAGCATATAATGGTGAAAATAGGCATTCTTGCTCTTTACATAGCATTGCCCTTACACAATACTTTTTCTTAAATATATTCCGTGGCAAACACTGGTCAGCAGTTAGAAGAAAACAAATCTCAGTTTCTCCCCACAGCCAATTTACAGTTTAACAGTGCTTCTGCAAATTAATCACAAGTTGGGCCTAAAAATCTATCCTAGATCTAAGTTCAGTTTTGCTTTGTCACGTCACTGTTAAGTTACATAAATTTAACTTTTTTGCATAGCTGTTTCTTTTAAAGCTAAAATTAAATGTGAGAGAGAATTGGAAATTTTGTTTCTAACAGAGGACACTTCTGACAACTGAAGTGTGCAGGTGTTTCCCCCTTGTCTTCCACTTTTATCTCTTAGTTCATTTGCTGTTTTCTCAGGATCACTTACCTCTGAGAGTACTCCAGATAACTGTCAAGAGACCAGAGCAGAGAACCGAAGAGGAGGACAAGTTTGCAAAAAACTGCTTGCAGGAGATAAAAAGCCCTCAAAGTTAAAACTGAAGATTGCAATTTCTCATGGCTGAAATGGCTCACTTTAGATGGTGAATGTTTTTTAATATACTGCTTTTTAATTGTTGATTTGTTACTATTTATGCTCTGAGCTCACATGTAATAAAAGCTAGAATGGTGATTGTGTATTTTGCTTTTATCTTCAGTGCACTGGTTATCTTCTGAATGCAAACTGGTCTGATAACTCCATGGTTTTGGCTGTTGACAAAGCTGTTATCACATCTGACGTGTTCTGTACGTGGAAAGACATGGAGGAAATGGGAACCTTCTTGACCTGACTTCTGCTGAGAACAGATGATCTGTGGAAAGAGGGCTTTACCAGTTTAAAATCAATATCCTCACAATAATTTCTTGGGTGTACAGCTTTTTCATGTCGGGTGCTAGTGCATCTCTAGCTTTGCACATAATACAAGACGTAAAATTACCTCAGTGGCCTAGCCATATATTTGTTGTCTCCTACCACTGTACTCCTTGCTTTTGGGAGTGGGAAAATAGTTTTAACGTGTTCTGATTTTCCACTTTTCTGCCTTTCTCTTGTTGCCTCTTTCTCATACCCGGAGCAGCACAGAAAAAAATTTCTCATTTTAAAAAATTTCTCTATCCTCAGTTTCCCATGTTTTGAGGTTTCCTTTTTGCTTTATGTGCTGGAGTTTGATCTCTTACATGATTGAAATGTAAGATATCATTGCATTTTCCTTGAGGAGTGGGAAATACTGGGGTGAGCTCCACTGCCCCCTTCACTCCAGAAGTCCTCATGGGAAGCACCTGCCACAGGTTCTGCTCCTGCATCTCCACACAGGTCAGCACAAATGCAGAGCTGTGCTGATCACAGCAGTGTCTGTGTACACCAGCACCTTATCAGTACAAAGTTATTGCTGTGAGTCCAGATCAGTCTGTGGGTCTGCCCCACTGTGTCCCCACAAATGACTCTTTGGGCACACCTTGAAAGAGGGCACAGGAGATGGCCAGGAAGTCCTTAATGCTCAGCTTTGAGTTTGTGCTTCTGTATTGAGTTCAGGTGCCCTGGTGTGGGTGGCCCCGTGCAGGACACAGCTGGCTCCAGGCAGCTCTGCAATGGACCGACCACAGGACACAGCTGAGCATGTGAGTGAAGCTGGGGCACCTCTGGGTGTCTGTAAGAAAGGGAAAATGCTGCATGGCAGAGAGGAACAAAGAAGAAGGTGAAGCAGCTCCCTCAGCACCAAGGTCAGAGAAGAAGGAGAGGGAGGAATTGCTTCAGGTGCCGGAGCAGATGTTTTCCTTGCAGACCACAGAGGATTACATGCCAGAGCAGGTGCAGATTTTTCTGCAGGAACTGCAATCCATGGAGAGGAGCCATGCCAGAACAGGCTTCTGCTGAAGGACTGCAGCCTGTGGAGAAGACCCATGATGGAACAACAGGAAGAAGCTGTTACAGACTGACTGCAATGCCCATATTCCTCTTTGCCTTGTGCTGCCTTGGACAAGGGGAGACAGAGAAGCTGGGGGTTCAAAGTGTGAAGTTGAGTCTGAGGAAAGAGGGCAACAGGGAGGGAATGTGCTGTTTAAATTTGCTTTTGTTTCTCAGTGATTTAATCCATTTTAATTGGCAATAAATTAAATTAACTTTTCTCACATTGATTCAAGTATTGAAATTTACGTCTGCGTGCAAGTCATGGTGGAAAATCCTGATGTCCATTTGATCACTGCCAAGTCACTATTGCCTTGAATTTTTTAAGTAATCAGATCTTTATTTCTAAGAATTCATTCTGTGTGAAGGAAGTAGTGTGCCTTGTCTGAATCGGGAATTGCATTTCTGGATGTATTCTGGTTAGGCCTTTCAAGTTCAGCATACTCACTTCACTAGAGTAGATCTCAGGTGGAGAATTAACTCAGGAACATGTCTAATCCCTTACATTTCAGCTAGAAAAGAATACCAGCCATATTTTTACAGCTTTGAGCATGGGAGAGTCATTCTGAGGCGAGGATGCTGCAGCAGTAGATTCTACTTTAGCTACTTCAGTAAGCTGTTCTTACAGGTGCTAAGGGTGTGGCATCTCCCCAGTGTTATGTCTAGCAGTGCTTCAGAATGGGGCAAAGTTCGTGGTGAGTGGCATCTTTGGTGAACGTGCTGTTAACTTTCAGAAAAGAAATAAGCAGAGTTTGGAAATGAGATTTATATTCTTGTGCTTTCCAGAGATTATTTTCCTGAATAACAAGGTAACTTCCTTTAAAGGGTAAGTTTTGTAGGTATGTTCTTACACCACCTTTGGAAAATACTTGTCACTGGACACAAAGGGTATCTACACAGGGTACTAGGTGACGTGACACACTTACAGGTTTATAATGGGGGCACTGGAATATAAAATTGATGGATAGCTTCCTAATATTATCTAAACTATTCTTTTCATCCTCTCTCTTCACATTTCACTATAAAGGGAAGAGTCTCTGTTAAAAGGAACATGGTAAATTTTTAGTTGTCCATAAAACTGTTTATGAACAGTTGGATGAAAAGAACTTCTTTGATAATGAATTGGATGAGCTTTGGAAAAATTTGTGATGTCATTGTAACTTCAAGTATTTTCTTCTAATTGTATACACTCACTATTGATTATTGTCTTACTGTTTATTTGCTGTATAATTTATTTGTTAAGCTTTTCTGCCCATGTTAGGGCCATAGAAGTAATACATATTGCAATTCTCTTTTCTTTTGAAGTTTTATAAAAGGGAAAATAATTATTCATTTTTTTTAGCCACCTGCTGCTCTGGAAAAGTCCATTATTATCCATGTTCCATAGCTACCAAAAATATTTTGTGCTGAAGTACTCCATAAACTTGAGATTTTGTCTTTTGATCAGGCAAAGTAAATTTGACATCTTAAAAAAAAAAAAAAGGCAGACTGACTACACTGGAACCAAATCTAGCATCTTCTGGAGCTGTGACCTAGGGGTCATCACTTGCAATTGTAAAAGGATTGACGTTTTCATAGTGAAATGTTTTTATTCATCTAGTTTAATCTATGAACAAAAGTGTCTTCATTCCTCTTATTTCAGACTTCTGAACTCCTTTGCAAAATGAGAGATCGCTAGTGAGATTAGCTAATAACTGCAAAAATGGAAAAAATTTCACTGGGGACAGGTGCTAACAAAATGTACCATAAAGCCAGCCAGCATAATTAACATTAGTAAGGTAAGATCTTTCAGGGATTAACTACAGGCTAATACTTTAGGTGGTACACTGGTGTTTATTCTGATCTTGCAAACAAAAATAATGTTTGTGAGCCGAGTTTATGAGCCATGGGAAATAAAGCTCTTTCTAAAATGCCAGTCTGTGGTGGTTTTGGTTCCTGTTGGCTTTGTCAAGCTTTTACTTGGTGTTCATTCCTTTGTGTATCCATTGTAGGGTCTGTTTTATCTGATCTCTTATGTAGAGTAAGTTAAAATAAGTTAATAGTTAATACTTAGAGTATAAGACACAAGTACTTAATGGCAAGATATGATATTTCATGTATTTTCTAACAAATAGTAAAAGTTTAATATTCTTGATCATTATCAGGAGACATTTGGGAGAGACTTCCCATGCTGTATTCACTCTTTTTGTGTATGTTTCAGAATTGATGAATTCCCATTTCTTTGAGAGTTGTCAGGAGTTTTTAGCAATGAAGTTACTATTTTGAAATGAACTGTAGATTCCTGACACTTAAAATGGTTTCAAGGAGGGAAACCAGGTTTGTATTTAATTTTGAATGCCCAGAATTTCCATTTGCTGTCCAAAAAGAAGAGACACCGGAGCCACCTCTGCACTCAGAGGAACACTACTGTTTGGACATAATGTTACAAAGATCAACAGGGTTTCCAGAGAAGTTTGACTGGCATCATAGCCAAGGATAGCATGGTGTGAGGCAGTGGTGCTGCCTGCTCTGAGATGCCTGGAATACTTTGTGTTCATTGTTCAGTGCCTTGCTGCTGACATACCAGTGGGATGATAAAAGGATGAGAGTCCATGAAAAATGTTTTGTTTAAACCCAGAAACAGAGGAAACAGCTGGCATATTTAAAATTCTTACATAGTTGAGTGTCTTGAGATATTTGAGGAGTGAAAAATTGTTGGTTTGGTTTTTTTTTTTCTTTCTGTCGCATTGTTTGGTGACAAAAGACAATATGTTAAGCTTATTTGGAGAGTTTCCTAGGAACCAGAATCAGGTAGTGCTAATAATATTACGGATTGGTAATAGTGCTATTTGGGTGGGGGTTTTTTTAGATTTCCAGTTGCTGTCACTTTCTCCAGGGAATTTCTGTTAATTTCTCCAGGAATTTTTGTCAGTACATTCCAGCGGCACACTGTCTCCACTATGTTGAAGTAGTACTGTTTACTAACTTTAAAAAATTTTCTTTCCCATTACTAAGGTGATTTACAGGAAAGTTAGTAGAGTTGGCTGTCTAGATAAAACATAGTCCTCTGGAGTTAAGGCTGATGAGAAGGCAAAACTGGCAGGATATGGTGAGTACTGAGATTTTGAGGAATCAGGAGAGCAATTTTTTGATGTTACTATTGTTGAAGCATAGCATTCAGCAAGGCTGATACCTGAAGCAGAACTTCTTTTGCACAGGTCAGCCAGAGTTTACCATCCGTGCCCACAGAGTAAGAACCAAACTAGGTTATTGACATCAGCACTTACTCTGATTCCTTCTTGCTGTTTTAGAATGAATGGTTAACTTTCAGCTACCTGAGAAGTGTAATTTCAAAACCTAGTACTTTAGCTCTCTTCTAGGTGACAGTGAGCTGTGTCAGAAATTTCTGAAAGAGAAGCAGTGAAAAATACAGAAGAAAGATGTAGGAAAGTCTGTACCACAATGAAAATGTGCACCAAAACTAACTCTTGCTTTTGAGAATCCCATATAATATGTTCTGAAATCCTGGAGCATGAGCCAAACTGGCATTGTGGACGTGAGCACAAGCTACCACAAACCTCCAAAACCCTCTCAGCAGCAGCACACACACAAATTTGTTCCCGTTCACCTCAAGCCAGAAAAGAAGTCTCTACTTAGGCCACATACTAAGTTAAAGTTAATTTTTAGTGTCATTTTACCAGATCCCAGTTTAAATGGGTTGCTTGAGAAAGCAGTCTAAAAACAATGGTGCAGTCAAAACTTGAAGCTTCATTTTTTAAAAGTAGAAGCTGAAAAAAATGAATCTGTTCAAATCTGTAATTCCTGTTTTCCATTGGAAGGGAGACAGAGGGGAAATAGTATTTACCTGACTATTGCTACGTAGTGTAATAGGTAATAGTCTGATTAATTTGTGCCAGAAAGGAGTGCTCATCTCTTAAAGCACTGAGACAAAAATACCATTCTTTTGGAAATTTTAATTAGTTTTATTTTTAAATTTTCTATCTATATTTACGTGAACGGATATTTTAATATATTGTATGAGTAAAACAGGCAATTTTTTTGATTTTGTGACGGTTGGTTCTCATTGCTAATGCACATCTTGATGTTCTAATCCACATTTGTTACATTACCACTTATACAGGGGCAAGCAATGCCAGACAGTAGGGAATTAGCACAGAGTGGGACATCCAAAACTACTCCTAGCTTTTTTCAGATTTTTGTTTGTTTTGAGTGGCAGTGGATAACTGACAGTAATAATTTAGAGCCTACTGCTTCCTTGGAAGGTCTGTGCCCTGCTGTAATTTTTTTGTCATCTGCAGGATCAAGCAGAAGAGAGAGGCTGGGGGTTCTGCTGTTTGGAAAACAATGGCTGCAGAGTTACAAAGTGTGGGCAGGGGACACAGCCACAATCTCTATATCCAGCAGATGAGAGAACAAGGAATTAAATAGAAGATGGATGTGAGCCCTGGTTTTCTTCTGATGTTACCATGTTAGATCAAAAGATTTCTAGGGGAATTAATGAGCAGTACTGCAAGAGAAAGCAGAGGTGGGAGCTTGGTGATGGCATCTGGCTAACTCCACTAAGTATCCAGCTACTTCTGTAGCATTGGAAGGGAGAGGATACTTCTCCAGTCCTCCTTTAGACTGTTTGGAAGGAGTGTGTTCTATCCCAGACTATCCTTTCCCTAATTCTTGACTTTGGGAGGGATGATGCCAGTTAAGCCAACAGGTTATGAGAGGAGATGGATGTTGGCTAAGTGCACCCTGCTCAGACAACAAACATAAGTAGCAGTTCTTATAAATTGCCAGTTCTTTCTGGAGGAGGTTGCTCTGTAGACATCAAGAGATGGCAAATATAGGAGGTAACTATACTTCTGGAGGCTGCAAAACCCAAGATGTGTATGTGCAGCCTCATGCAGTGCACATACACGTGTAACTGTAATAATTTGTTAATAGTAACTGCTACAAAAAACTTGGCAGAAAGCCCCTTTCAGTCATCCTATGAAAAGCAAATAGCTTGTTTCCATGTGGCAGCTCAATAAGGCAAGAACCTCAGAAACTGTTTGTAGAATGTACAGCAGTTTGACAAAGACTGTGATTAAAAAACTATTGTTTTCTGAAGTGTTAGGTGGTTTGCTTGTGTGTTAAAAGAATTGTAAACATTTAGCATGGCTGTTACCATGTATTGCTGCTTCTGTGCTGAGCAGTCACTGAAGCCTACGTTGTAATTCCATGCTCAGAAATCTGATTTTTTTTACCTTTGATTAGAGAATACAGTCTCCAAGCTGTTTTCAAGCTGGCATTATAGAAGAATTAGAGGGTTTATTCTAATTAGATATTGAAATTTAAGAAATGTAATAAAATCACTAGCAGCTGTAATCAATGACAGTCTTCAGTGAATTGTGAAGTCAAACTCTTGGGAAGGGTCTGGATGGTTTGTGAATCATTAGTGACTCTGCTTTCTCCAGCTAACATCAAAAATTCATTTTCAGCTCCTGTCAGCTGGTGTCCAGCATTGCTTTGTTCTGCAGACAGGTGGAGAGAGAGGGGTTGCAGTGGGGTGGCCCATGCAATGACAGACAGGAGGTCCATGAGGTGGTGCATGTAAGACACCAGAAAAAGTAGCACTGAAGGGAGAGGCAGTGCCAAAGTTGTAAATGTAGATGAGCTCTAAGCAATTACCAGCATCATTAGGCACCATTCTGGAGTATCAGCACTGATAGATATGTGGTTATCTCAGCCTGGCCTGACCTGGTTTTCCACATCAGCTGATTGCCCTGAACTTCACCCTTTGAGTCTTTTCCCCCTGCCCTGGCAGTAGTGGGTATGGCAGAGGCTGCAGTGTCCCTGCCTAGCACAGTGCTCTTCTTTTCCTAAGAAAAGCCACAACACTTGTTTTGTGTGTGGGTCACTGGGACTCTCTGGCCACAACATGAGTGCATGAAGTGAAGTTAAAGCATCTCAGACTGTATGGAGGGAGAGGGAGAGGTCCCTGGACTTCCAGTGCTACTTATTCTGCAACTTGCAACCTTGACTGAAGTCTGTGATCATCCCAACAAGACTGGACCAGTTTGGATTTAATACAGAGAAAGATTCTTGTATTAACAGCTTCTTCAAAACTGAAACCTCGTAGGGAGTTTAATAGGTGCTTGATCTTTCTGGAATATTGATGGCACTGATGGATGTGTGATGTATATGAAGGACAAGACTTGGATGTCAAAGGCAGGACAGCAGACAGTGGTGCAGAGTCACTGGGAATGTTACAAGCAACAGAAATCTGCAATGCCTGCCTGGACTACAGAGTTGTG